TACAGCACTCAGTATTTAGTTGGGCCTCCTTTGGCCTGTATTACTGCAGCAATGCGGCGTGGCATGGAGTCGATCAGTCTGTGGCACTGCTCAGGTGTTATGATAGCCCAGGTTGCTCTAATAGTGGCTTTTAGCTCTTCTGAATTGTTGGGTCTGGTGTATTGCATCTTCTTCTTCACAATACCCCATAGATTTTCTATGGGGTTAAGGTCAGGAGAGTTTGCTGGCCAATTAAGAACAGGGATACCATGGTCCTTCAACCAGGTACTGGTAGCTTTGGCACTGTGTGCAGGTGCCAAGTCCTGTTGGAAAATGAAATCTGCATCTCCAAAAAGTTGGTCAGCTGCAGGAAGCATGAAGTGCTCTAAAACTTCCTGGTATGTGGCTGCGTTGACCCTGGACCTCAGAAAACACAATGGACCAACACCAGCAGATGACATGGCACCCCAAACCATCACTGACTGTGGAAACTTTACACTGGACTTCAAGCAACGTGGCTGAAGTGCCTCTCTTCTTTTCCTCCAGACTCTGGGACCTTGATTTCCAAAGGAAATGCAAAATTTACTTTCATCAGAGAACATGACTTTGGACCACTCACCAGCAGTCCAGTCCTGTTTCTCTTTAGCCCAGGCAAGACGCTTCTGACGCTGTCTGTGGTTCAAGAGTGGCTTGACACAAGGAATGCGACAGCAGAAACCCATGTCTTTCATACGTCTGTGTGTGGTGGTTCTTGAAGCACTCACTCCAGCTACAGTCCACTCTTTGTGAATCTCCCCCACATTTTTGAATGGGTTTTGTTTCACAATCCTCTCCAGGGTGCGGTTATCTCTCTTGCTTGTACACTTTTTTCGACCACATCTTTTCCTTCCCTTCGCCTCTCTATTAATGTGCTTGGACACTGAGCTCTGTGAACAGCCAGCCTCTTTAGCGATGACCTTTTGTGTCTTGCCCTCCTTGTGCAAGGTGTCGATGGTCGTCTTTTGGACAACTGTCAAGTCAGCAGTCTTCCCCATGATTGTGTAGCCTATAGAACTAGACTGAAAGACCATTTAAAGGCTTTTGCAGGTGGTTTGAGTTAATTAGCTGATTAGAGTGTGGCACCAGGGGCCATCAATTTTGAACCTTTTCACAATATTCTAATTTTCTGATATGATGAATTTGAGATTTTCATTTGTTGTCATTTGTAATCATCAAAATTAAACAAAATAAACATCTGAAATATATGAGTTTGTATGTAATGTATGAATATAATATACAACTTTCACTTTTTAAATGGAATTACTGAAATCAATCTACTTTTTCATGATATTCTAATTTTATGACCAGCACCTGTATATATATATATATATATATATATAAACCACGTCACATAAATGTTCTTTCAGTCTGCAGATGGCGCCATATAACGAGTAGGCTACTGGCAGAGCAGCAAACAGGTGTTTGCACCAAAGCTGTGGAACAATATAGGCAAGGTGTGTCTCTTTTTCAAGAGAGAACTAGATACTGGATTCTTTCATCTTTTTTATTTATTATGAACTATTATCTATTTCCCACTACCTTTGACCACTAGTCAGTACCTTTACTTATGTGTACTAGAACAAGATCCAAATGTGCAAGAGTCTAACTACATTTTCATTGTGGAGTAGGAGACAAGGTATGGGTGCAGCACCTTCCATTGGTGGTGTATCCAGAAAACAGGTACTACGTTATTTAGATGTTACATTTAATTTTAACAGCAGTTGTTCCGTGGCTGCAGAAAGCATTATGAGCTTGGGAAAAGGTTAGTGACATGCAGGAAACATACAGAAAACAAGTCAGACAGACACATTTTCTGGAGGATAAGTGGCCCCTTTAATGTCATTTTATTAGCACTATGTAAAAAGTTGTTACATGACAGAATGAATGGCAATGGATCAAAAACAACAGAGAAGTGGGCTACATATATGGATTATATTCTTAGTTAAAGGCAAGAGAGAATATCAAAGGCATAGGTTTGATTTCAGCTTTGGCAGGGACACTATTGGTCTTCAGTTTCATTGGTCTAATGTCATTGGTCCTTTGCAAAAAGATGCATACTCTTATTTTTTATGCTTAATGTGAGCATCAGGCTTTGATGTGTTTAAAGAGAACAGCATAATTTCTTCCTAGATTAATACAAATCTTATAAGCACTACACTCACTAGATGCTGTTTAGCAATGTTTGAAGCATCACTGGCTCTGATCAATGTGCAATTAGGACTTTTTCCACTTTGAAAATGTTTGCATTTAAACTTACCAGTAAGACAGAAGGTAAATACATTCCTATTTAACCAAATATAGTCTAAATATGCCTGTTATATGTTGACGTATCGTGTTTTCTTTTGAAGATGTATAACTGTACAGAGGTAAACAGGTGAAACCCACTCTTATTCTAGGCTAAAACAGGCGAAAGCTTCTGACTGCAGTTCTGTGAAGAAGCAGGAGATAGTTTGGATTTTTGGAACTTGAGAAATGAAAGTAACCAAAGTTAGGATTTCTTTTATAAAACAAAATATTCTGAGTCAGACAGGAGTTCTGAAAACTGCTGTTGAAATGAGCAGTCTGTAATCTATCAACATTTCTGATTCCCTTTCACCAATATTTCTTTTCTATTACTGTTTTCTGTTTTTTGACGGCAGTTCAGGTGTATATAAAAGCTTTTAATTTATTTTGTAGAACATTACAACACGAGAAGGATGCTGACATTCTTCTGTTTTTTTGTTTTCCACATAATATATATATATATATATATATATATATATATATATATTATAATATATATATATATATATATATATATATATATATATATATATATATATATATATATATATATATATATATATATATATATATATATATATATATATATATATATATATATATATATATATATATATATATATATATATATACAATATGCAATACACCAGACCCAACAATTCAGAAGAGCTAAAAGCCACTATTAGAGCAACCTGGGCTATCATAACACCTGAGCAGTGCCACAGACTGATCGACTCCATGCCACGCCGCATTGCTGCAGTAATACAGGCCAAAGGAGGCCCAACTAAATACTGAGTGCTGTACATGCTCATACTTTTCATGTTCATACTTTTCAGTTGGCCAACATTTCTATAAATCCTTTGTTTTTATTGGTCTTCAGTAATATTCTAATTTTCTGATATGATGAATTTGAGATTTTCATTTGTTGTCATTTGTAATCATCAAAATTAAACAAAATAAACATCTGAAATATATGAGTTTGTATGTAATGTATGAATATAATATACAAGTTTCACTTTTTAAATGGAATTACTGAAATCAATCTACTTTTTCATGATATTCTAATTTTATGACCACCACCTGTATGTATATATATATATATATATATATATATATATATATTATAATATATATATTTATATATATATATATATATATATATATATATATATATATATATATATATATTTATATGTATATGTAGGAGACAGAGAACATGAGCTATGGGGATTATCAAACCTCCACTGGCTCAACTAAGCAAGTTTTTTCTCATTGCACAAATAAAACTTTTAATAAGAAATGTTCCTGTTAATTTAATTTTAACAGCAGTTGCTCCATGGCTGTATAAAGCATTATGGAAAAAGGTTGGTGATATGCAGGAAAATATACAGAAAACAAGTCAGACCGACACATTTTCTGGAAGACAAGTGTGCCCTTTATTGTCATTTTATTAGTACAATATAAAAAGTTTTTACATGACAGAATGCATGGCGATGGATCAAAAACAGTGAAGTAGGCTACATTTATGATTACATTCTCAGAAAAAAAATAAATAAATAAATGGGCTTGGTTGGAGACAAGACAGAATATAAAGGGAAAAGTCGGACGGCCTCTGCCGGATTCGAACCTGCCACGAAGCAAAAGGATCGCATTGAAGGCGGTCACTCAAGCCACCACGCCACCTCCCGGTAGTATTAGGTGGTGGAACATTCCTACTAATACCTGTGAATACAAAACATTATTTGGCGATGCATGTTGATGCAAAACGTTTTTACGTGAAAATAGGCATGGAATGGATTCAACATAACAGCAAAGTGTAAGTAGTGGATATATTCCTAAAATTAAGGCTTTGTGAAACGGCAATGCAGTGAATTCTGGCAATGCTGCAACATTGAGCTCTGTGCAGTTTTCCACAAAGCAGATCTGTGCTGAACTTTCTTGGTCTGGCTGCCTTGATCAGAGATTGGATGCAACCAGTTCAAATGCATTGGCTGTGGGAAAAGAAGGAAGGACATCATTATCATATTAGGAAAACGCGCGTTAAATACGCGCGTTCTGAGCGACACAACGCGCGTATTTAACGCGCGTCTTGCGGTACTATCATGACGCGCGTAAAAGGTGGCGCTTGTTGGTAAACGACGGCGTAAAAAGCGGCGTAATCTCGGGAGAACGCGCGTTTTTTTGCGGGTTAACTTCAATCTTAACTCGACAATTCAATGCGAAATGTGACCTTCTTGGCTTGCCATACAAGATGGCGGCTCTGCAGTCGAACATCTGTGCGGGAGAGACGAACTCGAGGAAGAGAAGACGGGTGCACAACCCCACGCTAGCGGTAAATATATGTTCGATTACTGCTAGCTATGCTAAAAGCAGCCTAGCTTAGCTAGGTGAGCTAAAGACAACCTAGCCTAGCTAGGTAAGCTAAAAGCAGCCTAGCCTAAAGCTACGGCTAATAGTAGCCTTGCAAGAACAAGCTTTATTAAAGTGTATTTTTGTGATTCACAGGAAGCAGTACGCCGTCTTCACAACTCGGAGACAAATTGCAGGCGCTATGAACCGGAGCAAGGGTAAGATTTAAAGAATATGCTTTCATTCTGCGGTAAAATGAAATAGATACGGATGGATACCGATCATAGCTGTACATTTTGTTTTCACAGACTAATCTCGCCTCACAATGAGGCGGTGACCTCCTATTTGCTCGGAGCCATATCAGCAAGTCCAGATTTGCACAATGTTGATAAAGACGACATTGTGTGTAAGTGACTTGTTTTAATGTTTTCTCCTTCCTTCTTACTGTGACTTGCGTTTGGTTTTTTTTATTCATACCACTCTCATTTAATTGTTTTCCAGCTGCCTGTAAGACGTATTTTGAGACGGTACGCAGGAGCTTCAGATATATGCTGCCAGCGAACACGTTGCGTGCGGAAGCTGCCAAGCAATCTGCTCGGAGTCGAGTTAGAAGAAAGAGGGTAAGACTTTATATGGTGACTATTTTTCAGGTGCATTGATAGATGTGTTGTGTACGCAGTGCATCCCATCGCATAGTGCTGATTCATTGTTTTTTTTTCGACCAGTTAGATAATTTAGAAAAAGTATTAGAACAAAAGGAGGCAGTAATTCAGGAAAAGGAGGAGTTAATTCAGGAATTTCAGGGAAAAGGGACCAAACAGAGAAAAGATAAAAGCTTAAAACTCTACCTGAAAAAGGCTGATGCCAAAAAGCTTAAAGGAAGAGCCGATTAGTTTAAAAGCAGAGAACCTTGAATTACTCAAGACACTCAACGACAAAGAATATAACATTCAAAAGTTGAAAGATGAGATTAGAAAATTTAAATTACAAAAGAAATGTAAATTGCCTGAAATTACTCCTCCTGTGTCTAAAATAAAATCCCAGATACCAGCTCACTTGGTCAAGCCCTAATAAGGTCAACCTGTAATCTGAATGGCGTTTTGTTCTACCAATTCTGCTTTTATCCTTTTATTTTATTTTTAGAATATATAAAACATATATATTATTTTTATTTTTAAAGTTCTGTTTAATCTCAGCATGTTCATTTTTCCCCCTCGTATATCATTTTCCAAAAAATGTTTTTTTATTTTTAATCTTATCGATCTATCTATCTATCTATGTATCTATCTATCTATCTATGTATATATCTATGTATATATCTATCTATGTATCTATCTATCTATCTATGTATATATCTATCTATCTATCTGTATGTGTATATATATATATATATATATATATATATATATATATACTGAACCGAACCGAAAACCGTGACCACAAAACCGTCAACCAAACCTAATGTGACTCTGAAATTCCTACTGTTTGAACCGAAATTAGCAAATAGCTGATAGGTAAAAAGCTTTTCAGTAGTGTATATAAAAGGTAAAGCTTTTCTCCAGTTTATATGATCAGCCCATTAATTCATTAAAAAATGTATTTGAATTCTACCACATGTTGACCAAGTTCATCACTTCGGTAACATAGTCACAGGCCCTTCGCTAGAAGGCAAGCAAACCAAGCAATTGCTTGGGGCCCCGAGCTGGCCAGGGGCCCCAAGACAACGACTGGTTAAGAATAAAATGCAATGACAAACTGTGAGTGGCGCTTTAATAGTCAAAGCAGTAAAGTGCAACGACACTGGATAAAATAGCTCTACTTGTCTTGTACAAATGGCGTAATGTCTCAGCAGGAAGGCTAGCTTAGCAAAAATGTTTATTATGTTAACTACCTGCCTGACGGCCAATGCTGCTTGTAACAGACTAGCTTGTAACAAGTTAGCGCAACTTTTTTTCGAACGGACGGAACATGGTTACTTACTGTAATATGTTTGGCACTTGAGATCAGTTCATCTCTCCACACCTTTCCAGACCATGTAGCTACTTCCCCATTTGACATGCTTAATTACATATACAGTGAGAGGCTACTGGATTTGTACAGTAATTTAAGCATTGCTTTGCGTCTACTCCTGACTCTCCCTGTGTCAGTGGCCTCTGGTGAGAGGAGCTTTTCAGCTTTGAAGCTGATAAAAAATTACATGAGGTCCACTATGGACCAAGAAAGGCTCCCAGGACTGGCACTTATGTCAATTGAGCGTGATGTTCGCCAGTCTTTGGACATGGAGGACATTGTGGTTGCCTTTGCTGAAGCCAAGGCTCGCAAACAGCAGTTTTAGATCATTTTCACATGATGGCCTGAAAGGTTAATCTCTTGTCTGTGTGTGTGTGTACTTGTATTTATGTTGGATTTTTAAATTACTATTACAACCTGCACTTTTTATAGTTTGAACGATGCATCCTTTTTCTGCATAAGATGGCAGGGTTTTATTTTATCACTTTGTGAGAACTGAAAAATTTTAATTTTTGTGTGTGTGTGAGTGTGTGTGTGTGTGGGAATAGAACCTATGACGTCACAAAACCAGTAAGCTAGGGTCTATAAGGAATTCAAACCATATGGGAGTCATTTCACCTGAGGTAAGGCAACTGAGCGGTTCACAGTTCACAGTTTTGACCTTTTGAACAACTTTTTGTCGGATTACCTTTAGTCTGATCTTTTAACCAGTGGATAAAGTGTGTACATTGTGTGAAACTACCTTCCTGTATATAAGCAATGGATCCCTCAACTCAATAAAAATGATTAATTAAGCTAGCAAATAAGGACAGGATAATTGATAACCTGACGGCACGACTGCATAAACGCGACAAGGACTTTGACAAATTAAAGGTAAAATTTGAAGAAAGTTTGAAAGAAGTTAAAAGAATAACAGAATGTAAAAGAGCGTTAGCTAAAATCAAAAAATCTAATTAGTCTCAGATAGAAAAACTAAATGAGGAGCTTGAAACAATTAAAACAAAGAACAAAAGCCTGGAGAACGAAGTTAAAACGCTGAGTGAGAATTTGGTAAATTGTGAAAAATCCCTTAATGACTTTCAAACACAGCTTTCCAATAACCAGCAACAGATGACTGGACTATTGAAACAGTTAGAGACTAATAAAAGAAAGTCAAATGAAAAAAATTAGTGATTACAAGGAAAAACTGGCAGCAGCTCATAAAGAACTGAACATTTTTCAAAAAGTAGCGGCAGATAAATATGAGAGCCTAGATACAGAATTAAAATGTCGCCCAGAGTGTCATAAATATGAGACAATAATCACGACACAGAAACAAGAAATTTGCAAACTGAACCTGGATATTGAAACACTTGACAATAACGTATCTGGTTTGAGTGAAAATTTAAGACAGGAAAAAGCTAAATATCAGAAGTTAGAAGAAGTTTGTAATAAGTACAAAGAGGATCTAAAAAGAGCATATGTAAATCCTCAAGTTAACAATATTCGCACTCTCAGAAACCAGTTGGATCATTTAAAAAAAGCATTAGCAGAAAAAGAGGCAGTAATTCAGCAAAACGAGACGGTAATTCAGGAACTTCAGGGAAAAGTGACCCAACAGGAAAAAGATGAAAGCATAAAACTCTACCTGAAAAACAATGATGCCAAAAAGCTTAAGGAAGAGTTGATTAGTTAGAAAAGCAGAGAACGTTGAATTATGGAAGCTTTACGACCAGAAAGATAATTTAAAAGTAGTATTAGCAGAAAAGGAGGCAGTAATTCAGGAAAATGAGAAGTTAATTCAGGAAAAGGAGGAGTTAATTCAGGAACTTCAGGGAAAAGGGACCAGAGAAAAGATAAAAGCTTAAAACTCTACCTGAAAAAGGCTGATGCCAAAAGCTTAAGGAAGAGCCGATTAGTTTAAAAGCAGAGAACCTTGAATTACTTAAGATGCTCAAGGACAAAGAATATCTCATTAAAAAGTTGAAAGATGAGATTAGAAAATTGAAATTGGCAAAGAAATGTAAATTGCCTGAAATGACTCCTCCTGTGTCTGAAATAAAATCCCAGATACCAGCTCACTTGGTCAAGCCCTAATAAGGTCAACCTGTAATCTGAATGGCGTTTTGTTCTACCAATTCTGCTTTTATCTGTTTTTTTTATTTATAGAATATATAAAACATATATTATTTTTATTTTTAAAGTTCTGTTTAATCTCTGCATGTTCATTTTTCCCCCTCGTATATCATTTTCCAAAAAATGTTTTCTATCGCTCTCTCTATCTGTATATATCTATCTATCTATCTGTCTGTATATATCTATCTGTCTGTATATATCTCTGTCTGTATATATCTATCTATCTGTCTGTATATATCTATCTATCTGTATATATCTATCTATCTATCTGTATGTATCTATCTATCTATCTATCTATCTATCTGTATATATCTATCTATCTATCTGTATATATCTATCTATCTATCTGTATATATCTATCTATCTGTATATATCTATCTATCTGTATATATCTATCTATCTGTATATATCTATCTATCTGTATATATCTATCTATCTGTATATATCTATCTATCTGTATATATCTATCTATCTATCTGTATATATCTATCTATCTGTATATATCTATCTATCTGTATATATCTATCTATCTGTATATATCTATCTATCTGTATATATCTATCTATCTGTATATATCTATCTGTCTGTATATATCTATCTGTCTGTATCTATCTATCTGTCTGTATCTATCTATCTGTCTGTATCTATCTATCTGTCTGTATATATCTATCTGTCTGTATATATCTATCTATCTGTATATATATCTATCTGTATATATATATATATATATATATATATATATATATATATATATATACAGAACCGAAAACCGTGACCACACTAAAGGTAAATCCAAAAAACTAAATGAGGAGCTTGAAACAATTAAAACAAAGGAGGAAGAGCCGATTAGTTTAAAAGCAGAGAACCTTGAATTACTTAAGATGCTCAAGGACAAAGAATATCTCATTAAAAAGTTGAAAGATGAGATTAGAATAGTGAAATTGGCAAAGAAATGTAAATTGCCTGAAATTACTCCTCCTGTGTCTGAAATAAAATCCCAGATACCAGCTCACTTGGTCAAGCCCTAATAAGGTCAACCTGTAATCTGAATGGCGTTTTGTTCTACCAATTCTGCTTTTATCTGTTTTTTTATTTATAGAATATATAAAACATGGATATTATTTTTATTTTTAAAGTTCTGTTTAATCTCTGCATGTTCATTTTCCCCCCTCGTATATCATTTTCCAAAAAATGTTTTCTATCTATCTCTCTATCTCTCTATCTGTATATATCTATCTGTCTGTATATATCTATCTATCTGTCTGTATATATCTATCTATCTGTCTGTATATATCTATCTATCTGTCTGTATATATCTATCTATCTGTCTGTATATATCTATCTATCTGTCTGTATATATCTATCTATCTGTATATATCTCTCTATCTATCTGTATATATCTATCTATCTATCTGTATATATCTATCTATCTGTCTGTATATATCTATCTATCTGTCTGTATATATCTATCTATCTGTCTGTATATATCTATCTATCTATTTGTATATATCTATCTGTATATATATATATCTATCTGTATATATATATATATATATATATACTGAACCGAACCGAAAACCGTGACCACACTAAAGGTAAATCCGAAAAACTAAATGAGGAGCTTGAAACAATTAAAACAAAGAACAAAAGCCTGGAGAACGAAGTTAAAACGCTGAGTGAGAATTTGGTAAATTGTGAAAAATCCCTTAATGACTTTCAAACACAGCTTTCCAATAACCAGCAACAGATGACTGGACTATTGAAACAGTTAGAGACTAATAAAAGAAAGTCAAATGAAAAAAATCAGTGATTACAAGGAAAAACTGGCAGCAGCTCATAAAGAACTGAACACTTTTTGAAAAGCAGCGGCACATAAATATGAGAGCCTAGATACAGAATTAAAATGTCGCACAGTAGAGGGTCATAAATATGAGACAATAATCACGACACAGAAACAAGAAATTTGCAAACTGAACCTGGATATTGAAACACTTGACAATAACGTATCTGGTTTGAGTGAAAATTTTAAGACAGGAAAAAGCTAAATATAAGAAGTTACAAGAAGTTTGTAATAAGTACAAAGAGGATCTAAAAAGAGCATATGTAAATCCTCAAGTTAACAATATTCGCACTCTCAGAAACCAGTTGGATCATTTAAAAAAAGCATTAGCAGAAAAAGAGGCAGTAATTCAGCAAAACGAGACGGTATTTCAGGAACTTCAGGGAAAAGTGACCCAACAGGAAAAAGATGAAAGCATAAAACTCTACCTGAAAAACAATGATGCCAAAAAGCTTAAGGAAGAGTTGATTAGTTAGAAAAGCAGAGAACGTTGAATTATGGAAGTTTTAGGACCAGAAAGATAATTTAAAAGAAGCATTAGCAGAAAAGGAGGCAGTAATTCAGGAACTTCAGGAAAAAGTGACCAAATACGAAAAACTCTACCTGAAAATGAATGATGCCAAAAAGCTTAAGGAAGAGTTGATTAGTTCAAAAGCAGAGAACGTTGAATTATGGAAGTTTTACGACCAGAAAGATAATTTAAAAGAAGCATTAGCAGAAAAGGAGGCAGTAATTCAGGAACTTCAGGAAAAAGTGACCGAATACGAAAAACTCTACCTGAGAAGGTATGATGCCAAAAAGCTTAAGGAAGAGTCGAGTAGTTCAACATCAGAGAACTTTACCTTATGGAAGTTTTTCGACCAGTTAGATAATTTAGAAAAAGTATTAAAACAAAAGGAGGCAGTAATTCAGGAAAATGAGAAGTTAATTCAGGAAAAGGAGGAGTTAATTCAGGAACTTCAGGGAAAAGGGACCAAACAGAGAAAAGATAAAAGCTTAAAACTCTACCTGAAAAAGGCTGATGCCAAAAAGCTTAAGGAAGAGCCGATTAGTTTAAAAGCAGAGAACCTTGAATTACTTAAGACGCTCAGCGACAAAGAATATCTCATTAAAAAGTTAAATGATGAGATTAGAAAATTGAAATTGGCAAAGAAATGTAAATTGCCTGAAATGACTCCTCCTGTGTCTGAAATAAAATCCCAGATACCAGCTCACTTGGTCAAGCCCTAATAAGGTCAACCTGTAATCTGAATGGCGTTTTGTTCTACCAATTCTGCTTTTATCTGGTTTTTTATTTATAGAATATATAAAACATGGATATTATTTTTATTTTTAAAGTTCTGTTTAATCTCTGCATGTTCATTTTTCCCCCTCGTATATCATTTTCCAAAAATGTTTTTTATTTTTTTATCTTATCTATCTATCTATCTATCTATCTATCTATCTATCTATCTATCTATCTATCTATCTATCTATCTATCTATCTATCTATCTATCTATCTATCTATCTATCTATCTATCTATCTATCTATCTATCTATCTATCTATCTATCTATCTATCTATCTATCTATCTATCTATCTATCTATCTATCTATCTATCTATCTATCTATCTATCTATCTATCTATCTATCTATCTATCTATCTATCTATCTATCTATCTATCTATCTATCTATCTATCTATCTATCTATCTATCTATCTATCTATCTATCTATCTATCTATCTATCTATCTATCTATCTATCTATCTATCTATCTATCTATCTATCTATCTATCTATCTATCTATCTATCTATCTATCTATCTATCTATCTATCTATCTATCTATCTATCTATCTATCTATCTATCTATCTATCTATCTATCTATCTATCTATCTATCTATCTATCTATCTATCTATCTATCTATCTATCTATCTATCTATCTATCTATCTATCTATCTATCTATCTATCTATCTATCTATCTATCTATCTATCTATCTATCTATCTATCTATCTATCTATCTATCTATCTATCTATCTATCTATCTATCTATCTATCTATCTATCTATCTATCTATCTATCTATCTATCTATCTATCTATCTATCTATCTATCTATCTATCTATCTATCTATCTATCTATCTATCTATCTATCTATCTATCTATCTATCTATCTATCTATCTATCTATCTATCTATCTATCTATCTATCTATCTATCTATCTATCTATCTATCTATCTATCTATCTATCTATCTATCTATCTATCTATCTATCTATCTATCTATCTATCTATCTATCTATCTATCTATCTATCTATCTATCTATCTATCTATCTATCTATCTATCTATCTATCTATCTATCTATCTATCTATCTATCTATCTATCTATCTATCTATCTATCTATCTATCTATCTATCTATCTATCTATCTATCTATCTATCTATCTATCTATCTATCTATCTATCTATCTATCTATCTATCTATCTATCTATCTATCTATCTATCTATCTATCTATCTATCTATCTATCTATCTATCTATCTAGCAGTTAATATTGGGGAACTTTCTGTGTTTACAGATATATTAGGTCAGAGGTGACTTTATCCAGTGGTGACCTTTAATCTGTAACTAAATCAGATGATCGAAAACTAGATTTACAATAGTCAGAGTGCAGACTGGTGTGAAATCAAGTGCCTTTCTGCAGATGTGTTAGAATGAGCTGTTTTGGGTCTTTGCTGCCTTTGCATGTCCTCCCTGTAACTGATCACGGATCAAATAGTGTGAAAATAGGACTGGTGGAGGATGAAATAGGGCATGAATAGAAATAGCTTTGTAGCCTGGCTCCACATTCTCTGGAGGGATTGCTGTGTCAGTTGCCTGGTGTGCAGCGTAAAACTGTCTATTCCTCGTCCAGGTGCATGAGCGTCATCAGCACCGGCCTCTTCCCTTCCAACATGGAAGGAAGGAAATTATACTAAGATAACAAAAGGCTTCAAGTGGTCAGCCTTCTTACAGATCTGCCTTTGATTAAGTGACATTTGTATGGGTTAAGATAACTGTCTATAAAAGCGTATGCATAGGTGTCTGAATTTGT